GTGATTTCATTATTTAGCAATGCAAAACTCTTCCAGCTAGTAAGGAGAATTGTGGATTAGGCAGTAGAAAATGGTTTGAGATTGAGAAATGGGCTCATGTCCAGTCTCTGTGGTCAAATTTCTGTATGGTCTTAGGTAAATCCCTGCCTTTTTCTGGCTGTAAGTTTTCTATAGTGCAGAATAGAGATTTTGAGCTAAGTGATAACTAAATATCATTTTAATATTCATAGTAGTTTTTGAAATAATTTTTTAAAGCCAGGGCTTTGTACCTTCAGTTTATGAGCTTCTGCTGTGGCATGATGGGCCGACTGCATGGACTGAAGAATGATGTCCCCAAATTTAATTATCTTGGGGCATCACCATTTCGTAGGTTAAAATGAATCATTTTGTTCACTGCATCTGCAGCCTTTGCTGAAATGGAGGTTATGGGATAACAACTTAAAGGCTAACTCATTAATGCTTGAGATGAATGAGGTAATGTGTCAGCAGACCAAATTGGTACCCAAATGTTTGCAGTTAGAACCCTGTATCTCTTTCTCATGTTATGATGTATTAATGGGGATGTCTTTACCCACTGTCACTGCCTGTACACATTTGAATAATATAGATGGAATATGTTCTGGGCACCCAGCCCCATGTACTATCAATTTCTCAAACTGTGAGGAGCTTTCAGTAGCTTGGAGAAAAATTCTAATGATGCCACAAGGTGCCTAATTAATAGGGACTCCAACTACAGCATCAGCATGGGCCCTGGGTTTTTTTTTCCTCATAGGTATTGACAAGTGACAACTAGACCAACCCTAACTATTTGGTAGGGACAATGGAGTAAATTAGTCCTCCAAGTTGTGAAGGCTGTGGATTTATGGCTAACTGAGAACATTTCTGTCCTCTCAGTGGTGCAGCAGGTGACCTTTCAAATGTTAATTTGTTTCTCCATCTGTGCCATGCATTTTAGGAGGACAGGAAGAAGAGGCTTGATGCCACCCATGGGTGTTCCCCAGTTCTGTATTGCTGAAGAGTTTATTTGACTGTCCCTCTGCCCTTTGTTCAGATTTTCCTGCTTGGTACCTGCTAATTTCCTAGCTCCTTTACTGATCTAAATAAAATTATATGGTTTTTTTTCCAGAGACAATGTAAAACTGGATGGTTTGAAAGAGAAATATATCTGGGACCACCCGCATTTTACTAATCTGAATAAAAGTATTTGAAATATGTAATGATGAAATTGGTTTTTCTGAACCTTGTATGATTAAAAGTATGCTTGATTCCATTGAAATTGAAGACTGAAATAGATCTATTTCCAATAGATCTCTAGATCTCTTTATCTGTGCTAATTTAATTCAAACAGTAGAAATTGATCAGAGTAAATTGCTCAATGCGTTGATAAAAATTCTATGTAGTCACTTTGACAATCAGATATATTCTAATAAAGTTGGGCCTCTGCAAAGAATCTTCAGTATTACATGTTTATTAAAAACCAGTGCTACTTATTATACATATTTATTTAATGCACCACTGCATAAATGGATGCTATGCTAGTTTATCCTTTTATAGAGCAGGCCAACAAGGCTCAGAATTCAACTGGTTTTCCTAAGGTTACATAGCTAAGAAATCATAAAGCTTGACTCTAACTTCATTGTCTACTGCAGATATTTGGGCAAAGAACTTAGTTTTGCAAATGTCTTGATTCTAGACTAGAGCTCAGATGGTTTGCTTTCATATTCTTTCTTGAGTATCTTTTTGATCTTATAGTCACTTCAAGCTAGTGATACAGCATGCTAAAGGAGAGAGGGAAGACACTGAAGCAAGAGTGATTTCTTGGTATCTTGTTACCTGTGGTGCACCTACTTTTGTGTTCAGCTTGAAAAGTTAGGCCTGAAGTTAAGAAGAGTAGTTAAACCTGAAGAACCTGTTTTATGCCTGTGTCTTAGTGCTGAAGCCTGTTTATCTCCTCCTCATGCCACTCTTCTGCTTCTCTGGACGTTCTGGATCATCTCTGTTGCTGTCTTGGGTTCCAGTGGTGATCTAAGAGGGTTGAAGGCATGTAGGATGGTGTCAGTTTTGTTGCCAGTACTGCAGCATATGGCTATGCTTAAGTTCAGCCCTGTATGTTCAAGCAGGGAGGCAATGACAAATGGTTTATTGTAAGGCCTTTGATTTCCTTCGGAATTGTAAGCATCTAGGCTGACTCATCTCTCAAAGGCTTTTCTCTCTCTCTCTCTCTCTCCTTTTTGGGATGATGTTGATTTGAGGTTTTACTGTTTGTTCCTATCTTTTTCTTTTGAGGAGGGAAGAGATTGGTTTGCATCTTGTTTTCTTTGGGGGGAAAGAACCAGCTCTGCTCTTTGGGTAACCAGGTCTGGTAAACCTCCACAAGAAGAAATACCTGAAACTCCAAGACAGGTACAAAAATGTGTGGATTGGGGTAAGGGGAAAGGGGCAGTGATGCTAGAGATTTTAAGTGAGAGCTTGACTATGTGTGTTAGAATAAGACCCTCGACTAATAGACTTTAGACTTGATATTGTGAGTGGGGCTTGCTAGAAGTTTATTGTGGAACTGTGCTTAAATGCATTTGACTTTGGCTAAAATAGTCACACTGTGGTTGCTGTTTGTTGGTTGGGACTTGATGTCCATCTTGGGTTCAGGGTATATGCTTCATAGTTGAAGGAGATTTAGAATCCATGCTAGGGCTTTCGTTTTGGCTTAGTCCACAAGCCATAAGAAAAAAAACCCACTATTCTTTCTCATGTTGTACCTCAGTCATCCAGCAAGCAGTTCCAACCTTTGAGTGGCCATTAAGGTAAGTGGGCAGAGAGAATTTTGGTGATAAAACTGAAAGTGGAGTATCTTTTTTTTTAATTTAGACTCTTGCATGATCAACATTTTTCCTACCTCTTCTCTGTCAAAGCCATGCTCTCTGATCTTTGAATTTTAAGTCCCTCTCAGAATATTTTATAGAACATATTTATAAATCTCCATATGAAAGGCAAACTTAGAAAAGTGATATGGAATTACTTCTCTTTTTGTTAAAGGTTACGTTCTCCACATCCCAAATTACCTTCTCTGTTAGGAACTAACATGCACACAAACCATAAACTTGGAAGCTAGCCTAAACACTTTCCTTTTCATTAAAATTAATTTTGGCCTAAGTCTTGTCATTTCCATGCAGGGTCTCTGACATTTGCCACACCATCCTTTGCCTCTTTGCTTCAGGCTTTCTACTCAAATCAGGGTTTTCATGCCTCTCTGTGATTTTTCCAAGGTACAATTGTGACTCTAGCACTCCCTGCCTGAAACACTGTAGTAGTGCCCTACTGCTTGGAGAAAAAAAAATCGAACTCCTTAACATGGCTTTATAGGGCCTTTCATGATCTCATCCCTGCCTATGCAGTTTTATCTCCTTCCAACCCCTGTATATTGCTTTAAAGATGACAACTATCCTCTTTGTCTTTATACAAGCTGTTCTCTGTGTGTGTGTGTGTGTCTGACTCTCTGTCTCTGACTCTATTTGTCCCTCTCTGTCTTTCTCTTTCTATCCTCTCTATCTCTGTACCCCCACCCTCCTCACCCCCACACCCTCTCCCCTGTCTCCAGGCAGACAGATATTTTCTCTGTTCTGTTCTCACAGTACTTTGTTTATACCTTGGCCAGCTGACTTATCAAAGGGTTTTGTAAATTGTTGCAAACCTGTGTATGTCTTTTACTGCACTATTAAATCTTCTATGAAAGGAGCAGTAAGTACTATCTTATATGTCCTTTGAATCCATAGTACCTGCCATAAAATAGGACTTAATAAAGATTTCCCTTTTTTCCTTTTAATGAATGGATGAAAGAACAAGTGAGTAACAGAGGATATAGGAAAAGGGATGCTGTGTGGAGTGCAGAGAAATATTGTGCAGCCTGGGTACAGTATAGGATAGGATGGTGGAGAAAGGCCATAGAAATTACTTTTGCCATTACACTAAGACAAACTTCACTGTGATCGCTAATTCTCTATAAGGAGTTTCACTAGAAATGGTCTAGAGATGATGTTTGCCTGTTTTGGTACAAGTTGACTTTTTTTCATTAAATGCAGTATAGTACGGTTTAATAAACAGGGTAAAAGTAAAAAGCAAACAAAATGTATTTGGGTGTATTTCTTTCAGTCTTTTATATATGTTTTTCTCCAAATAGATGTAATCAGAACTTCCATATTTTGTATTTGTTGTTGAACAGCTCGTTATAGCCATCAATATATGATTGCATAATTTCCATACTATAATTATTACATAATTTATGTAACTAATCTCTTTGTTGAGCTCTTTTTTCTTTAATTTTTTTGCTGGTATGGCTCATGTATATATGATTTTTCCTGTCTGGACCAAGATTTCATTAGGATAGATTCCTAGAAGGGGAATTACTAGGTCAAAAGGCCCAGGGACAAATTTTGGTTTCAGACTCATGTGCCCAGTTTATCTTCTGGAAGAGTTATTTAAATTTACAGGGCTCCTAACCTAGATGAATGCCTCCTTTTTACCTAACACAGGCAGCTTTCAGTATCATCATGGAAAAAAAAGCTATCAGTGTTCCAATTAAAAGAAAATATTATGTCTTACTGTTGTCTCAAAGTGTTATTTTAAAAATATAAGGTAGCTTATTTTTTTTTTTTTTTTTAAATCTGTTCTCTTTCTGCTAGATAAATCTGTTCTCTTTCTGCTAGTTTTCTTTTTTCTGGACTATCTGTTCAGAGCTGTTTTTTTTCAAGTTGATTTTTTTTTTTTGAATAAGCAACCAGAGGCAGCTCTGCTGGAGGGTGAAGCCGCCTCCCAGTTTTCCCTCCCCCTTTGCCTCCCCCCCCTCATAGTTCCCTCCACCAGGTCCAGTGACAATTGGATGATGCAGCCTTGATAATCATCCGATTCCAGAATGGGTGGCTGCATTCCTTTTCTGAAGGCAGCAAGGACACAGTGTCCCAGAATCATGCCCCCTTTGCTTCTGTTGTCCGCCTTCATTTTTTTAGTGAGCGTCCTGGGAGGAGCCCCGGGACACAGCCCGGACCGCAGGATGGACATGGTATCAATACACAGCCTCTCTGAGCTGGAGCGTCTGAAGCTGCAAGAGACTGCTTACCACGAACTCGTGGCCAGACATTTCCTCTCTGGATTCAAGCCCGACAGAGGTGAGCTATACCCTGGAGTGTGGCGTCCTCGCCCTTGGGCGACTGGACCCCCGGGAGGGACGGGGCGCATTGGGGGTCCAGGAGAGTGAGAGAGGATCATTCCTGGTCTCAGACCTGGTCCACTCTCCTGGTGCCTGGGGAACCGGGGGAAACAGGAGTTGAATGCTGTTTGTTGAATTTCAGAAGAGGTAAAGATTAGTTGAGTTGGGTCGGATCCTGGGGATTTGAGGGGGACAGTAAGACCGGCAGATGCCTGGGACAGAAAAGTGGATAGAAGACAGGTGAAGAAAGGACTCTCCAGGTAAGGTGCAAGAGTAAGGCTCAGAGGGATACTCTAAGAGAGGGAGACTAAGACTCAGAGGGACACTCTAAGAGAGGACTGGGACAGGCAGAGACTGCACGGTGGAGAGAGATACAGACAGTGGGAAAGAGACTGAGAGACACGCGCCAACCGGCAAAGAGCAGGAGGGCGGTGCGGGCGCGGGGGTTGGCCGCCGGAGGTGCGCTCGAAGCGCTACCCAGTTCTGCTGGCTGCTGGGGAGCCAGGGGGACGAGGCACTGGACCAGGTTCCAGCGCACCGAGAGATCTCAGGGGTATGTGCACAGATTTGACTGCAGGATCTAGGGGAGGTGGGAGAGGTTCGCGCGGGTCTAGGGGCGCTCCATCAAGATTGGAAAGTGGGGGGGTGGCTCCCGGTTTTCCCGGCGCGCACCACTGGTGCAGCCTGAACTGAGTGAAGCAAAGGGTGAGGAGACCCCGCTGGTAGTCGCCACTGCGGGATTTGGAGCGCGGAGGCTCCAGATCAGGTGTCGATGATTCTTTCACCGCAGCAGAAGGAGCCGACGGCAACCCGCGCGTGAGCGCTTCCGCAATAACTTGGCGACCCTCACCCACTGCTGCGCTGCAAGCAGAGCCCCTCCCCTTGCCTGTTGCATGATCCGAGGGCCTCTGAGCTCTTGAATTTATGTTTTAAGTGTTGTGTTGAGAGATTACTGGTGCGTAGCAAGATGCGCTCAGGAGCATAAGACCGGTTGGGTTTAATTCTTGGAATCATGCATGTGTCAGGCAGGACTGGTCCTGTTGTCAGGTGGGGAAACTGAGTCTGGGAGAAAATAAAACACTTTTCGCGGGCTGGACGGAGCTCCCCCTCCCACTCCCCCTCCCCTCACTGCAGATCAGTGCATGCGACGTTTTAGTTAGTTATAACGTCCCCTTTGTGTGTGAATGTACATGTCTTTTCTTTTTTCCTTCTCATAGCTCTACCCACTGACCGTCCAAACACCTTGGAGAAGTGGTTTCTGATTCTGAGAGGACAAGAGAGGGGTGAGGGGCCTTTTTTCTTTTTTTAGGAAACAAATAGAATACTGACACTCCCCGCCCCCCCGTGGTGTGCTCCTGGCTACTGGAGACTGGGCGGTGCCCATTGCCCCAGAAGACACTCCCCCTCCCTCCCAGAAACCCCTTAGGGGGTTATATCAGGAAATGGCGCAATAGCTTCAGGCGCTTGGGGCGGTCCTCTCAGACCTGCCTAAGCCTTCCGTGGAGCACCCCAGAGAGATCAACCTGAAGAAATCGCTCTCATTGCTTCAAGGTGGTCGCCCACTGGCAGGACGTAAGGCAGGGAGGGGACCTTGAGCCCCGTCGGGGTAAAGTTTTTTT